ACCCCCGAGCCCTAGCCCCGCAACCTGGAGGCGGCCCTATTTGGAAACAGGTCTTTGCAGAGGTGGTCAGGGAGAGGCTTACGTGGCCCCCTGTCCAGTGAGACTGTCCTTACAAGAAACAGAATGAGACGCACGGAGGAGGTGCCGGGGTGAGGGGAGGCCAACGGCGAAGATCCATGTGCCAAGGGTGTCAAGGGCTCGGGAGCTGCGGAGGCAGGAGGCTGGAGGCTGGGCCGGGCCTCCCTGGCCGTTGCAGGGGCCGTGGCTCCCCGGATTCCAGACTCTGGCCTCCAGACCCGTGAGGACATCTCTGTCATTCCGCGTGATTGTCGCGGCCCTAGAGCATGTGTAGATCCCGTGTGGGGCTGTGAGCTGGGCGTGGCGGGCCCATCTGAGGCTCAGCCCAGAGGAGTGGGGCTTGCCAGCCTCCCTGAGCTGAGCCTCTGCACTCTGGCTGCTCGAGGCTGGGGGAGGGTAGAGGCCCTGGGGTGCCTGCTGTCTGATCCTCTGCTCTGAGCCTACCCCAACCGTGCGTCACAGGCCTGGCTGTCCAGCCCAGTCCCCAGGAGGACAGCCGTGGGAGGCCCCGGCCTCTGCCCTGCCTCCTTGGGCCCGTGAGTGAAACCAGGGCTGGCCCCTGTCCCCAGGCTCAGGGCCACTGCTCTGCCCTTCTAGGGAGGGCTTGGCATTCCTCCCAGCTCAGCCCCAGGAGGAGGCCTGCTGAGCCCTCCCAGGCTGGGGCTGGCCGCAGCCTCGAGGCCACTTCCCTCAGACCTGAGGCAGCAGCTGGCTGTGTGTGTGGGGGTGTTAGCTTCCCAAAGTCAGGATTTTTATTTTTCAATTTTAAGAGTTGCTTTTTAAAGGTTTACATATATGAATAGCTAAAAATTAATGAAGTTTTCATTCTGTCCATCACACCGGGCCGAGCAGGCGTGTGTCTTGAAAAAGTCGTTGTCAATTCTGTGTTCTTTAAAATGCTGCAGTAGAGTGAGTGGCGTTCCCACCCTCTCGCTGGGCCCACTTGGTTTCCGGTACCGGGTCCCTCTTGCTCGTGCACTCGGTGGGTACTCCCAGACCCCCTGCTCAGAGCCAGCCCTGCTCTGGGCCCTGGGACACACCAGTGGACAGAGTCAGCGTGGATGAGGGCTGTGACATGTTGGTGTGGGTGGGGACAGCATTTTGAACCAGGATGGCACAGGATCGGAGGTCGGGACAGTGAGCTCCTGGCAGTTACAGGGGGAGGCGCAGCGTGCTGGGAAGGCGGGTGCTCTTTGTGGCGCCCCTGGTGGCTGTGCGTCATGGGCCTTGGTGGCCAGCAGGGCTCTGCACACGTGACCAGCGAGGAGCCGCTAGCACCCGCAGTCCGCGGTGGCTCCCCCCGCTGTGCACGCAGCCACCGTTCCCGTGCCCCCATAGGTTTGCTCTAGTGCCTTGATTTCATCCGTCTGTTCGGACTGACATCACATTTTAATTTGCAGTTACACTTTCTTTTAAAATTGCGGTGGAGATGTACTAACATAAAATGTATCACTTAACCATTTAAAAGTAGCTCAGAAACATTACATTGAGCCAAAGCAGCCAGGAACCGCAGGCATGCATGGAGAGGCTGGACGTGGCCCTCCGTATCGCTGCTGGTCTTTGGGAAAAGGAGGGAATATTGTGGATGCATCGGCAGCTGCACCTGACTCCGTTTATGTGAGGAGTCCAGAAGGAGCAAACCTAGGAGGTCGGCTAGTGGGGGCCAGCAGGTGGCGTGGGCCTTACAGCAGCTGGATCCCACGTGACTGACTGCACGGCTCCGGTGTGGGGCCTGGGAGCTTGGAAGCACAGGGCTGGCGTGTGTGCGTGCGTGCCCAGGATCCTGGAAGGAGGAGAGATGGAGAAAGGCGTGGTCGTACTCCGTCCTTCCCCTGCCCCATTTCTCCACCCGGTCAGGATCGGGGGCATGCACACACGTGCACCCTCCTGTTTTTCAAACACGTAGGGGCCGGGATTCAAGCCACAGCTGGCCAGGTGGCACCGGCGCCTGCAGCCTCTGTACCGTGAGCTGGCCTGGCCAGCCATGCTCTGAAAGGCTTGGCTCTGCTGGGAGCTCCCTCCCCACCGTCTTCTCCTGAGAAGCCCCACTTTTTTTTTTTTTTGGAGAGGTTTTTGCTATAGGGCGCGTGCGCTCGCCAGAGAGACAGAGACAGAGAGACAGAAAGCGAGAAATCACCCCCCAGGGAGGATGGCCACACCATAATCCCTTCTCCTTCATGCTCCTCTCGGGATCTTGGGCACGCACACACACGTGCCCGGCGTGAGTTTAAGCCACCGGGTCCGGGACGCGAACCGCAGTCAACTATGTGGGAGTCCAGCGACAGCCATTACGCTAACTGCTGGTCCCCAAGCTCAACTCATTTTTTAATATCCAGCTCACATGTCTCCTCCTCTAGGCAGCCTTCCTGACGGCCAGGAATGACCAGGAAGCATCCATCTGGCTGCATCAGAGGGAGTGGCGTCCAACCAGAGCTCACCTTGGCACCCTGTCCCACTCTATCTTCTAGGACTGTGATCTTTGACCTTGGGTCCAGGCAGGGCCAGATGGCACAGAATCAGCCAGTTCGGCCCGACAGGGGTGTTATCTAATCACTGGCTGGTCTAGAAGCCTCCAGTCTATGTGACCCAAAGAAAGTTGTTCTGCCCAGGACGGGCAGGGCAAAGTCTGCCTCCCGCTGGGTGGGGCAAGGAGGAGGGTCACTTCACGCTGGGGCCATGTGGTCAACCTCCCAGACGCCCCTGGGCCTGCAGACGCTGCTCTGCACCCTCCACACGGGACGCACACCTCTGCCAGCTCAGGTTCCACCCTGAGACCCTGGTCAGGAGCCACTGGGGCTGGGCAGGGAGGCGGGGCAGTCCAGGTGGTCGGGCGCAGCACCGGC